ATTCACATCGCTTGTTGACGTTCGGATACATTAATAAAAACGTTTGGATCCAAAACATGATCACACTCGGAATATCAATAACTTTCTTGAATTATTAGAGAATCGAGCATCTTTCTTAAACTTCATGTAAATATCCAAATTGACCTGTCTTTATATAATTTTTGTTAAATTGTTACATTAATAAATATTTGTATTTTTATAATTGCCAAAAAAACTATCTATTCACATGTAAATTCAGTATTATCATTTATTAAACTTATTTAGAATTGAGAAATTAAATAAATTTGAGAACTTCAATTACGTTAGTTTATGTTATTTTATTTTTACTAATTATTCTCTTAAATGATTATGATTTTTATTCAGAATTTATATTAAAAGTTAAATCTTGAAAGAACTACAGCAAATACCTTTTTTTCTTAGAAAAAATGTGCAACCTTCATAGAATTTTAAAGTTTAGGGTACTTTCTTGAATTATTAGACAATCGAGCATCTTTCTTAAACTTCATGTAAATATCCAAATTTACGTGACTTTATATCATTTTTGTTAAATTGTTACATTAACAAATAATTGTATTTTCATAATTGCCAAAAAAACTATCCATTCACATGTAAATTCATTATTATCATTTATTAAACTTATTTAGATTTGAGAAGTTAAATAAATTTGAGAACTTCAATTACGTTAGTTATTTTATTACGTTATGTTATTTTATTTTTACTAATTATTCTCTTAAATGATTATGATTTTTATTCAGAATTTATATTGAAAGTTAAATATTGGAAAAACTACAGCAAATACCTTTTTTTTCTTAGAAAAAATGTGCAACCTTCTTAGAATTGGAAAGTTTAGGGTATTTATACCCAAAAAGGTATAAATACTCTTTGGAAAACTTAACAAAATCAGTCTTCTCTTCCCTAGCCAACAGTGAACATCTTTCAAAATTATGGAAAACTTTCCAATTCCACTCGGATTTACTACGACAGATCCAGTCGAATATCATAAGCCTTATTATTTTACCGGATTTTTGGATTTCAATTTTGTTAGGAATCAAATGAAATTAGTGGAATCATCTCGTGCAAGACGTAAGATCAAACAGTTTTTAAAATTGCCTCGAATGGAGGGTCAAACGCTGTTGTCGATGATGAACATAGAACAATTTATTTTTCATATTATGCTTGATGTAGAAGATGAGTGCGAATTGAGTATAGAGTGGACAATTATTCTTATGCACATTGCTGTTTGTAAGTTTGATCCTTATACCAAAAGTCTCTGGAAACAAGTTTCAGATAATACTTATAATATCCAACATTTCATGGACTTCATTCAAGAACGTGTTCACATCTTAGGAACTACCAACAACGGTCTTTAATTTTTTTGTAGTTTATATAACCATATGTATTGATTTGTATTATTTTTTATTGTAAATCCTAATAAATATTCAAATATATATTATAAAAGTTGTAATTTCATTATTTGTAGTTACTAATTTGCAAAGAAAATAATTAGTTAAAAATTTGTATTAGTAACGAATGAAAAACGCCTTAGAAAAATTGTTAAAAAACAACAACTAAAAACTCACTCATTCTAAATTTTCATTATTATTTTTTTTTCAATGTTAATAAAATCATAAAAAAAAATGTGATTGTGTTCAATGCGATTCAACGAATTACTATGTAAGTAATAATAATAATGGAGATTTTCAATGCACGTATAAATACGAAGAAAAAGAAAAAAAGAGAACGTCTGAGAAAGAGTTTATATATTAATAATAACAATAATGATGATGACCAGAAATCGATTGTTTTCTTAACAAAGGAGATGCATAACCTAAATCTAATAACTACGTGCGTGGCCATTCAGTCTCATCGAGAATATGAAAAAAAAAGATTGAGAAAAAGAAACAAAATAATATTTATTACATGATGATGTCCGGCAAAAGGAAAACTAACATCGACAATAAGAACGAGAGGATAAGCAAAATCAAGGAGTATCTGCATAATTATATATAATCAAATTTGTAATGACCTTGCAAACCATCATACGTAGTCTATATAAAGAATATATTAACTTCACTATTTGCTACGCACAACATTATATTTTCAAAAGTGAAATTATCAAATATGTTATGATTTCATAAAAAAATCAATAAATTATAGAAGGAATAAATACTTTGTAGTTTTCAGTTAACTTTCAATGAACTAGAAGTCTATGAAATACAGCAGTCAATGGACAAATCATTTTTAGTAGTGGGAAAAAAACATAATAATGACTCAAAAAAACATATTTTAAAAATTATTTAATACTAATCATCTATGATCTACATTTCTAAAAGTTCTTCGTAATCTGGTTCAAACTGGTTCTGAGAAGTAAAATTATAGAGAATTGAACTATTGTTTTAAAATCATTTTAAACCTCTAAGCCGGTAGCATCTTGGCCCGCGGGCCATAGATTGCCCATAACTGAAGTAGAGTATATTTAAGAACAATAGAAAAGTTTGCATTGGTGATTTCAATTTAAACATAAATGCATGATTATTAAAAAAATAAATGTTTTTTTGCATCTTGTAAAATAAAACTTCGTAAAGTAAGAACGTTTTAACATTATAAAAATGGAACTTCATAAAGTTATATGGTTTTCAAAAATAAAAGCTCATTTGTAGAATTATTTCGTAAATTAAAACTTTGTAAAGTCAGAACTTGATTAAAAAATAAACGTTAAAAAAATCATAATATTTCTTGATTTCTTAAAATGAAATTTCATAAATTTTTATGGTTTCAAAAAATCAAAGCTCTTTCTTAGAATTATTTCGTAAAATGAAACTTTGTAAAGTGAAAACTTGGTTGAAAAATAAATGTTCATTAAAAAAATAATGATAATTTTTGATTTCTTAAAATGAAACTCCGTAAAGGGAGAACGATATGAAATTAAATACACGTTCATTAAAAAAAGCTTTTATCATTACGTAAAATAAAATGAAACTTCATAAATTTATATGGATTTAAATAATCAAAGCTCATTCTTAGAATTATTTCGTAAAATTAAACTTTGTAAAGTGAGGACTGGATTTAAAAATAAACGTTCATTAAAAAAATAATAATTTTTTAATTCTTAAAATGAAATTTCGTAAAGTGAGAAGGATATGAAATTAAATTCATATTTAATAAAAAATATGCTTTTATCATTACGTTAAATGAAACATCCTAAAGTGAGAACGATTTAAAAAGTTTATAAAATGAAACTTCATAAATTTATATGGTTTCAAAAAATCAAAACTCATTCTCATTCATTCAAAGTGAGAACCTGATTAAAAACTAAACGTTCATTAAAAAAATAATATTATTTTTTGATTTCGTAAAATGAAAACGTAATTTAAAAAAAAAAACAAAAAGCAGTTTGGATGAATAAATTCTTCATAATGCGGGAAGTACCTGTATATTATTACTATTAATATTATTCGTACGATAATTAGCTTGTCTCCTTAATATAAATATAAAACATGCTTATGTAATTATAAATTAAACGGAAACAACTGCTAAATCAATTCACACGTTTCCCGCATCATTTCTTCCAAGAACCAAATACATAAATTATCATCCACATTTGTATTAAAATAGCAAACATATCTACAAACGCGTATGCATCTGTGCTAACCAAATATTGAAGAAATATTACATTCATTTTATATATAATAAAAAGTTTTACAGTAATGCAAAGAAAATGACAATTTTAATGTTTTAATTGCAATGATCCGCTCGTTGAATAAAACCCAAATGGCAGAGCGAACAAGATAGAAGAAATAAAATATGGCAAGCAGAAGAAGTAGATTATGTAGTGTGTTTGTGTGTAGTATATAATTACTGTTGGAGAACATCAGCTGTTGGTATAATAAAAATGCAGGTACATTTGCTCACATGAGCAGCTGACTCCTACCTTAAACACGTTGCCTCATTATACTGAAAACGTTGTCAGTTCAAGAAATCGAAAATACCAGATGATCATTTTTCGACAAAAATTTTATCTTATACTAATTAATTTCTACAATCATATTTTTAAGAACAACTAAATTTCATTAACTGTTAATAATTAATCTTAACTTTTACGTTTAATCAATTAATTAAGCAAACATTTTTTTTAACAAAAATTCTATTAATTCGATTTTTTTAAATTAATATAAAGTTCTGTTTAGTATTAAGTTCAAACAATGATGATATATTATACAAAATGAATAATACAAATAAATAAACAAACTTTAGACTGAAATTAATTTAATCTGAAAATCATTAATTTATAAAAAAAAAAACAATTCTTAGGAACAAGTTTGGAAACAATTCTTTTATTAATTAAAATTAATTTCTTTCAAACGTTTTACATTCACATATTTAAAGAATAATTATTGGAAAATATACACTGAAAATAAACGAAAATGATGATTGTTTCACAATGTTTTATTTAAAAGCAACATTAAAAAAATTATTAATTGCTATAAATTTTCGTTGGCTTTTATATTTAAAAAATTAATAAATAATTAAGAAAAAAAACATTCATAAAACAAATTTTATATTACAAACAAAAATATGTTTTTTTTTTATTAGGAAATAGAAAAATCTTAATAATCGATTTCGAATATTTTGTCTCAAATTTTCATTTTTGTTAAAAAAATTTCTCGAATTTTAAACAACTTATTTCCATTCTCACTTTTCTACTAAAACGATCATTTTACTAATTTCAGATACGTAATAAATTCGTTTATAATTAGTAAAATGAAATTGGAAATAATTTGGGTCAAAGGTCTCCTTACATTTTAATATCTAATGTAATAAATAACATTTTGTGTAGGTTTTTAATTTTAAAAAATTAAAATTTCTTCAAAGAAATAAGTAGAATTTATTTCTGTAAATTTTTGTTTGTGGAATTGGTGAAAAGTAAAATGAATAATCAGTTTATTTTAATACACTATTTAATTATTATTTAGTAAAGATATTTAGTAAAAAAATCTCACCTTAATAATAACACCTAAAATATCCATTTTCCAGTTACGAACTTATAAAAACAATGTTTATATTTGTCTTTGTTTTATTTTTCTATAAATTATTAATCATAAATAGTTATATTTGAAATTTCGAACTGGAGTTAGATGCGCGCAATTTTGTTTTGGATGTTGTTACGCGCACAACAATATCTATCGGCAAACTAACGAGGAAGGTAAAAGAGCGCAAGAAGCACACACCGGGCGCTCCATACTCGTCTGCTTTCGAGTACACTCGTGCACCTGTCATTACCTGTAATTTACGATTTGTTTACATAATCCTAATAACGGATACATACTTTCGGCACACGCCGCATGGACACACCAGACAAACTATGCCGGTGACATGCTTATCCACTTTACGTCTTCACGATATCTCTCAAATAAATACTGTTTTACCTATAATAAATTAACAACGTTAATTACAATGAGCAATATTTAAAATCCTAGGATCTTTATTCGATTTAATTCAATTTAAATTTATTTTTCAAATACACACATTTATAGTTTTGTTAATATCACATTTTTCATCCACTTTACGTCTTCAAGATATCTCCATTTGCTTATATAATATTAAAAAGTATTCAAAATTGAATTTATATCTTAGGATTTGCGATATTAGTAATATTTAGAAATCCCAGGATCTTAATTTTATTTTAAAGCTTTTAAGACATATTTTCATAGTTTTGTTAGCATTTCTTTTCTAAAGTTTATACTTACTGTACAACAATAATTCAAAATCCTAGGATATTCAAATTAGTTAAATAAAAATTAAACAAAATATGTTTGTTACTATAAAAGAAAACAATGAATTCTCATTAACTTATTGATTATTAATAATGAGAATCAAATTTTGTTAAAAGTGTATAAACATTCCTATACAACTTTTAAGAAGACTTTCATCTAAATTATTCAAATGCATTGATTGGGAAATATAAAAACAAGTATGATTAAATATATATATATACATAAATATTTATTTGATATTTTTCTTGTTAGATATTAATTAAAAACTAATATTATTACACATATTATAATAATTGAAACAAATATAATATAATAGAATTCTAAATCTAAGCTTAAACAATAACTTCTAATTCTAAATTTAAACAATATAACACAGAAATGTAGAAACATGTACATCGAACTTCTTACAATTGAATACAATTAATGGTAGTTTTGAAGACTTATTAATATTAAAAGTACAAGCATAATTTTCTGCTTTATTTATTAAACGTTGAAATAGTTACGTGCGTAATAATTCATACTAATTAAAAACTATTATTACACGAATTGTAATAAATCAAATTAAACAAATATAATCGAACTTTAAATCTAATCTAAAATAATTATATAATAGAACACAGAAATATAGAAAAAATAGCATGAATTTCTTACAATTAAAGACTATTGCTGGTAGTTTTCAATGTGTTATTACATTCTTGAATGAAAGCCAATAACTTATAAATGTTAGAAAATTTCAACACAGAATCTTCTTGTTTACTCATCAAACTTTGCAACAGATGTTATAATTATCCATACTAATTGAAAACTATTATTTCATGAATTATAATAAAATCTCATCTGAACTAAACTAATTCTAAACTTAATCTAAATTTACACAATATAAAATATAGAATCTTACCAAAAATAAAATCCGCTGTGTGGTTGATAATCACAGTAGAAAAATATGCATCGATCTTCTTACAATTACAGACCATTATTATTGGTTTTCAAAGTATGTATACGTTTTTGAATGAATTCCATTAACTTATAAATGTTAAAAGTACCATCGGAAGATTCAATCCAGAGGTTTTTGGTATACTGATCAAATTTTAAAACAATAATATGCATTAATATAATAATCCATTCTTTTGTTAACATTTCGTTTGACTGCAGATAAACCATGATCGGATAAATCGCTTTATGAATTTTCATAATAGCTGGCAGTGTTCGACAGTCCACTCGTGGCATCTTGAAGAATTCTAATGTCAACTTTCTCATGCTTTCACTAAGCAAGTTTAATTGAGTCTTAACGAATATAGGATCTAAGTAACTGGTGGAAAAAAAGCGATTATTGTATTTTTCGGGATCCGAAGTAGTATAGGTGAGAGGCGTGTATTCTGCCATTTCTCTACGATTTTGACTCTTACAAAACTAAAATGAAACAGTGCTTGTAGCAAGTTGTTGAAGAGCATATCGGTTGTACGTATACCTGAAAAGGGTATGTTTTCAAAAAAATTTCAATTTTATTAAGGTTGCAATAAACTGCACAGTTTGCTGAAAAACGAAATTAGAAAGTTTTTGTATTGCTGCTACCAAGAATTACATTTCTGTTTACGAATTTGCAGTGAACAATGTGAATTCAACGATTTTCAATTTATCACTATCATGTTATTCTGATTATGAAATAAGTAAAGAAATCACCCATCAAATTCTATCATTCAGATGTATTGCTTAACTTTCTTAACTAATAAAGTAACGTTAGCTCATGACGCCATGCGAAGTACTGAATATCTCCAACTTCTAAATGTTAATTAAATCCAGAATCAATAATCTAAATCGTTTAAAACAAATGAAATTATTAATTAAACAAATTATCTAACATCTTCATCTATCCTGATTAGGAAATAAGAAAAGAAATCACCCATCAAAATCCTATCCTTCAGATACATTGCTATACATTTGTAACTAGTAAAATAAGTAACAAAAGCTTATGACGCAATGTTACGTGATAAAATTGAATTATGTCCTAAATCAATATTTTCACTTGCACAAATAAGATTCCAATAAAAAGATTAAATTTTTAGTTTTAGTACTTATTTATTTATTATATTCGAAATAGGTCTTCTCTATTTATGTTTAGATCCGTATATATATTGTTTCGTCAATATCACTGCTGGAGAATCTAAAAAACTAAAATCTCATGATTTTCAACAAGTACTGATAATGCAATAATTTCTTATAGAAAATTAACTACGTATTGAAAATATAGATCCTAGGATTTGCAATACTGGTAATATTTTTAAAAATAAAAAAAAATAAAATCACATATTCATAGTTTTGTTAATATTACTTTTCTAAAATCTGTACTTATACAATATTAATTCAAAGATTCTAGGATCTTCAACATTATTAAATAACAATACTTGTGCACTTTACGTCATCATGATACTTGTATCAAATAAGTAATATTGAAAATCCTAGGATCTATAATCTATTTATTATATTCTAAATCAGCATTTATCTAAAAATTCAATATCCTAGGTTTTTGAACATTCTTAAATAACTTTTTTCATCCACTTTACGTCTTCGCGATATCTCCAATTGCTTATAGAATATTAGAAAGTATTCAAAATTGAATTTATATCCTAGGATTTGCGTTGTTAGTAATATTTAGAAATCCCAGGATCAAAATTTTATTTTAAACTTTTAAAGACATACATTCATAGTTTTGTTAGCATTAATTTTCAAAAATGTATACTCACTGTACAACACTAATTGAAAATCCTAGGATATCCAACTTTGTTAAATAATAATTAAACAAAATATGTTTATTACTATAAAAGAAAACAATGAATTTTCATTAATTTTATGGAAGAAATTATTAATAATGAGAATCAAATTTTGTTAAAAGTGTATAAACATTAGTTTACAACTTTTAAGAAAATTTTAATCTAAATTATTCAAATACATTGATTGGAAAATATAAAAACAAGTATGATTAAATATATATATATAAATATTTATTTGATATTTTTCTTGTTAGATATTAATTAAAAACTAATATTATTACACGAATTGTAATAAGTGAAACAAATATAATATAATTCTAAATCTAAACTTAAACAATAAACTTAAACATTAACTTATAATTCTTAATTTAAACAATATAACACAGAAATGTAGAAACATGTACATCGAACTTCTTGCAATTGAATACCATTAATGATCGTTTTGAAGACTTATAAATATAAAAAAGTACAAGCATAATTTTCTGGTTTACTTATTAAACGTTGAAATAGTTACGTGCGTAATAATTCATACTAATTAAAAACTATTATTACACGAATTGTAGTAAATCAAATTAAACAAATATATTCGAACTCTAAATCTAATCTAAAATAATTATATAATATAACACAGAAATATAGAAAAAATAGCATGAATTTCTTACAATTAAAGACTATTGCTGGTAGTTTTCAATGTGTTATTACATTCTTAAATGAAAGACAATAACTTATAAATGTTAAAAAATTTCAACACAGAATCTTCTTGTTTACTCATCAAACTTTGAAACAGATGTTATAATAATCTATACTAATTTAAAACTATTATTTCATGAATTATAATAAAATCTCATCTAACCTAAACTAATTCTAAACTTAATCTAAATTTACAGAATATAAAATATAGAATCTTACCAAAAATAAAATCCGCTGTGTGGCTGATAATCACAGTAGAAAAATATGCATTGATCTTCTTACAATTAAAGACCATTATTATTGGTTTTCAAAGTATGTATACGTTTTTGAATGAATTCCATTAACTTGTAAATGTTAAAAGTACCATCGGAAGATTCAATCCAGAGGTTTTTGGTATACTGATCAAATTTTAAAACAATAATATGCATTAATATAATAATCCATTCTTTTGTTAGCATCTCGTTTGACTGCAGATAAACCATGATCGGATAAATCGCTTTATGAATTTTCATAATAGCTGGCAGTGTTCGACAGTCCACTCGTGGCATCTTGAAGAATTGTAATGTCTCCTTTCTCATGCTTTCACTAAGCAAGTTCAATTGAGTCTTAACGAATATAGGATCTAAGTAACTGGTAGAAAAAAAGCGATTGTTATATTTTTCGGGATCCGAAGTAGTATAGGTGAGAGGTGTGTATTCTGCCATTTCTCTACGATGTTCACTCTTGCAAAACTAAAATGAAACTGTGCTTGCAGTAAGTTGTTGAAGAGCATATCGGTTGTACGTATACCTGAAAAGGGTATGTTTTCCAAAAATTTTCAATTTTATTAGGGTTGCAATAAACTGCACAGTTTGCAGGAAAACGAAATTAGAAAGTTTTTGTATTGCTGCTACCAAGATTACATTTCTGTTTACGAATTTGCAGCAAACAATGTTTTCAATTTATCACTATCATGTTCTTCTGCCCTGATTATGAAATAAATAAAGAAATCACCCATCAAAATCCTATCCTTCAGATGCATTGCTTAACTTTTTTAACTAATAAAATAACAAAAGCTCTTGACGCCATGCGAAGTGCTGAATTTCTCCAATAGTATCCTGAGTTGAAAATATATATCAAAATTACCAATCAAAATAAAATATTTGAGAGACGTTGCTTAACTTTTTGTTTGTTTTTTCAGTTGTTTATTGATAGTTTGTTTCTTGTTACTATTGGCAATCCCTTGCTTACTCTACGCGATAATTGTGATCACACTTTGAATCTTACTCAAAATATGGTAAATAAATCAATTTTATTCGTATTCATTTTAAGAAATAAATTCCCATACATTTTGTAACTCTTATTAATAATTTCGGATTGCATGAGTCTCGAGCAAATTAATAATTGAATCTCCCTTAAATGAATAATTAGGTGATTACGTAAATAAATCAGGAGGTAGAGGCAAATTCAAATCCATAAATAACTCCATTGTCTCGTGTTGTCATCTTAAACAATGCACAAGAATTATTTGTAATGCATACGCGAGACGGTGAGCTGTTATTGAACATAAATTAGTATGATCATTATGCATTATAATTCACGCTGAATCCGTAACATAAATTATTTATATAGAAATCATCATCAGTTTTAAATAGAAACAATGACAGTCGTATAGTGTTTATTGATTGATGATATATTGCGTGGAAGAGCCAAAATTCAGTATTTTCCTTATGCACGAATTTAAAACAAATTAAATCGTTTAATTAATCAATTACTTTCTAAGTAAGAAAAATATGTTAAAAAAATACACTAATAGTAATAATTTTAAAATTTCAACTTCAAAAATTACTTAAAATAGTTGTCAGATATTTATTATTATTTACTAAGAACAAATAGGCTGGATTTCAAGTAACTTAAAGAATTCCAGAACTATATTTGTAAAATTGTTCATCATGTTGTTGACGATTAAGCAAATGTTTTAGAAAACTAATTACAAATTGTTTTTTTTTTTCAAAATTTTCAGACGTAAATTGTATTATTTTGTAATTAGTAATAATAATTAGACAATTAAAAACAAAAAAACATTCTATTCATAACATTCAAATACATAATTTTACAATCAATGATTATTACATGTTTTTTTTATTAATATTAATGGATTTGATACATCTTTTCAGCAAGATACATACTTCGATTAATGATTAGAAGAATAGAAAATTACTTAATAGAATAGAAAATTGAAGTTGCCATCTCGCGTTTGCTTTGTACAACTTTTAGTTCATGCTATGGATTGTAGATTACACTAGTAGTCGCATTACACAGAGTTCTTCTAATATAACATATTATTATTTTCCAATTTGTTTATAATTTTCATAATTAAATTAATTAAATTTTTCATTTTGTCCTAACTGCTAATTTATGGTCGTTTATCAAATAAAAATTAATAAATAAATAATTTAATTAAAAATCATAGATTTGTGAAAAATTAGTGAAAAAAATAAAATTAAAATTGAAAAAAACTGAGAAATTCATTGAAAACAAGGATTCAAATTGACTATTTTTAAACAGAAAAGAAGGAAATATAAATAAAACAAAATAATTCAGTGAAGAAATTTTAATGGTTTTATTTTCATAATTGTACATAAAATCTGAATTTCACTTATCCAAGTCCAAATAAAACACCCCCATCTCACTCAACTCCTCCCAGTACAAAATAAAAACAAATTCTCGGAAACGGCATTTCGCATAAAAAGTGAAAATGTTTCGAATCTTCAACAAATTTCTCTCATCTCAATTTATTGTTGTTTTTTTTTTCTTGTTAAAATCCTGAATGAAGGCACAGATACACGTATTTCGATAACGAATACATGTCACACGAAAAAAAACCATTAAAGATACACAGAAAATAAATTAGTTATCATTTATTTACACGCGAATTCAGTACTTTAGGAGAGCATTTATATTCCAACCATTTATCCAAAAGAAAACTGAACCAAACCCAAAAAAATTAAAAAAAAAAGAAATAAAATATTTATATATATAAAATTATTATATAAACAGAATGAAATAACACTGTTAAAATCTTCTATATTCCCTATTGTCATTATTATTTTGTTTACAATTTTACGTGTGTTTCATCGACGTACCTGTTTCATTTTAATATTTTTTTTTAAACATATTTTACTGACTAGACAGTTTTTATTTCCCTTACATTTTTTTCCCGCTAATTGGCTAAACATATACATTTACAGAGAATGCCCTCATCCTACAACCTCCGGACTATCAGAACCAAAGTGATATTTTATTTTAAACCCATTTCGTAGATTATATAGATATACGAAAGCACCAAAAAAACTGATGCGTTGCAACATTACACTTATTTTATTACTGTGAAATTGTAAGACGTACTTCACAACAAACAGCTGCTCTTTTTTTTTAAATATATTTTTATAATATTAAGTTTGTATTTTTTTTTTCAAAGATTTTCATTGCGTGTATATTTATATAAAATGGACATTGATTAATGTGCAAAAACACCTCTTTTTTTTGCAATTTACTTATATAAAACCCTACTGTTAGACCTAATTCACATGTATTCCTAATTTAATATTACTTTTTTCATTCATGATTATTCCGATATATTTACAAAATTACAATCACAATTTTCTTGACGCAAGTGCTTTTCATCTCTCTATACACATATAAACTTCTTTTTTTTTTTGCATTATTTCTCTTTATATATAATATTTGTTGTTTTTTTGTTCTTGTTGTATTTGTTTGATATTTCAAATGCACCCCAAATTAAAAAATAATTATATAAAACTAACGTATTCCTCGCCTAAGGTATAATATTAAAATTACTCTACTGTACACGGTTTTTTCTCTTTTCTTTGTTTTTCTCTAGAATCTGGACTCCTGGCCGACAGGATTCGCCTCATACTAGGGTTTCAAACGCTTGAAGCCCGCTCCGTCCTGTCCTAACTTCAGTTCTTCGTAGAGGGTGGGATTGACTTCGTGCTGAGCGGGGACGTGGAGGGACTCCTGCTTCCAGCCGTGTCCTCCTGAAGTTGTGGAGACGGCAATACCATTTGCTGTGCCGTTCGGGATGTTAGTTGACTCGGCTTGAGTTGGTGGAACCTTAATTGTTTGTGTATTAGATGGATGTTGAAAGATTTTTATTTTAAGTGATTACCTGGATGTGATCCATGTTGACTTCACGGAGGTAACTGGGGTTTTCGAAGGCAACACCACCTTGGTTCTTGACACCCATCTGCTTGGTCTTGACCAGCCATACTCCACCTACCACGACTCCAGCGACTACCACCAAAGCCAAAACTATGGCAAATGCAACTCCGGTGTGAGAGCTATCGTCGCTGTTTGCTGCTGAAGTAATGTACTCGGCGCCGACGGTGAATTGTATAGCTTGAGACAAAGTGGAAGTTCCCTTGTTGTTACCAGCCTTGATTACGCAATCATAAGTCTCTCCGTGTTGCAGATCTGAGATATCAATATAAGTATTAGGAGTATCCTTCTGTAACCTCTTCATATCAGAGTTCATGATTTTCCAGAAGACTCGGTACATCTCAACGGTGTGAGGATTCTTTACAGGCTCATCCCAGACGATCTTGGCGCTGTGCATGTCCAGCTTCTCAACACGCACATTCTGAGGTGGTCCTGGCAATTTATCGCGTCCTTCGTGGAAGCAACCCATGATCAATTTAGTGTAAGAAAGGACGCAGTTCTTGTTGTCGTTCAATGGACCACCTCTGCACCAATCTAAACATCCTCTTGGCACACCCTTCTGAGCACAGCAGTTCCTATGATCTGAACCATCAGCGGCGCACTTCATCAGCTTATCGAAATCGTTGATGCATTCCGCCTTGTCGATGACGGCGTCCATATCCAGGTAAAAGCTGCACGCATCCATGCACTGAGAGCTCACGTTCTGCTCCATGCAGCACTGTGTAACGTTGTGTGTCGTTGCAAGATTACGTAAGCGCACGGAGACGGGCTGCGTGGCACTTCCGAATGCATTTTCCGCATGGCAGAAGTAATCCCCGACATCCATGTTCCCAATATTGTTTATCGTCAAATGCATCATGTATTTATCCTCGTCGTCCTTAGAAGCGCTTATAGAAATATCGTACTTTCCACCTTGTATCACCGGTTTCCTCTCCTCGTGATTCTTCCAGAAAATCATTTTTGGTCCTGGTTGTGCATCAACTTTGCATTCCAAAGTCACTGAGTCTCCGGGCGCTGCCATAGTTATACCACTCGCTTGGATATGAGGACCATCTGTAAGAAATCTTGTTAGTATCAAAGATCAATAAGGTATTAAAAATTACGTACGACTAATTGTAATTTTCCTGGATGCTTGCATTGGGGTGCCGTAGCCGTTGTCGGCGTAACAAGAGATTTGGTCCATATCCCGCGTTACGTTATGGATCACAGTGACCATGTGTCTGGTGATCTCCTGCCTCACCAAACGTCCAGAGATGTACAGAGATATCGTCGGCATCGGCGTTCCCATGGCGATACAAAGTATTGTCATGCTGCTCCCTTCGATCACCAGATTTATTGGATGGACTGTCGGGGGCTGAAATTTATTATTTCATAAAGTATCCAGTTGCAGACAGACGCTGTATTTATATATATATATATATGACCGCCTTCTATTATTATCTTCTCCGTTCGATTGCCGTAAAAGAAAATGCAATCAAAGCTGATACACTTCTTAAACTTGCGTTCCAATATATATTTCTACGAGATCTCTTCAATGTGTTGTAACAAAATCTTTATAATTCTTTGATTTCATTTCTAAAAGATTTCCTACTTTGAACATATATTTGAAAAGCAATACACTTTATGAAATATATTCATTTCAGAATTAAATTTTAAGTAATAATAAAAAAAATCTTCAAAGGAACATTTTCGCAGCGAGCAGAATAAAACTAAGAGAAAATAGCTTTGTTCTGTACAAATAATTAATAACGTACGATCCAGAACATTTAAGAATTTATATACCATGAGAACCATGAGATAATTTGAGAAATAATTGTGTTAATTTAAAAAAAAAGCTCTTTTTGTGAGATAAAATTGATTTTTTACAATCATGGTTAGAGATCACGTAATGTACGTAGGTTGCAGAGCAAAAACGATGTTTCGGTCAGTGATGCTCGGTAATTCGGTTCGCTGAATTTTAACGGTTACTTTCAAGTAAAAAAAATGTGATTACATGGAATTAATGATCATTAGAGTTACTTTGAGCGTTAAATGTTTTTAATGGATATCGAGTTGGAGGAACGAAGGCTACTCTATTATTGGCAAACCTATTTATATGAAAATAAAGGAGACGTTAAGATGGTCTAATAATGACGTCGGAAAATACCTCAACGAAAGCCGGATAAGCTGGATCAGTCCAGGCGATTAGCGTCTCGGAAGGCATGCTCTGTCCCTTCTTCGATGTGGCAGTCACGTAAACGATGTACTGCGTGTTTGGAAGGAGATTCTGAATGGTGTGCGACGTCACGCTGGTATTGGTTATTTGGAAAACCGAATCCGTGGTGGATTTATGATACAGCCTTCAAGAAAATAACTTTCAATATTCTTCCTTCCTTCGACGTCGCGTCGTGCTAGACGTGCTTACCTGTAGGTTATCGATTCCGAGGGATGGCTGAATTCTGGAGGCTGCCAGGTGATAGTCACCCACGTTGCACTGTGAGTGGATACCGCCAAAGAGTGCGGGGGCGAAGTCACTCCGCTCACCAGTTCCCCATCTAAAGAATAAATTGGATATTACCTTAATATTTACGCATTTTCTCGTTGCCAACCAAAGCCTTACCTGATTTAGTAACGTTAATCATGATAATCGATGAAGGCAGAGACGTTCCATGCACGTTACGAGCCACTACGAAGATGTGATAAATACTATTCCTATCCAAATTATTAAGTATAGCAGAAGTGTCAGTCGTGTTTATCTGTTTATCAAGCTTCAACAAAGTCTCGTGCATTGATGTATTATCCACCTTTTGGTAGTGAATGACATAATCCGTAACATTATTGGGATCAGTCGGAGGTTCCCACTCCAAAGCTATTATCTCATCATCGATAACTGTTGCATGCAGCTCAGATATAGGCCCAGGAAGAAGTCCAGTACCTTAAAAACAACAATAACATTAATTAATCAAAACGTCACTCATAAACTGAACTATTACCTTCTTCAAAGCATTGAGCTATGTTTCCGATATAAGGGATGCAGGTAGTAGCTGTAACAAGCAAAGAATCGACCATAACTCCGTTGCACAATGAGACGCAGGAAGCTGGGACTCCTCTCCTAGTGCAGCAAGCTCCGTGGTTCCTTCCTCCAGCTCCGCAACGGAGGAGTTTCGTGAATTCCGGACTGCAAACTCCTGCCAACGTTTTGATGTCACTCATGTTTGCATCGTACGAGCACAGCGGAAGGCAAACGCTGCTCAACTCGGCCTCAACGCAGCAAGCTGTCACATTGTAATTTGATGCCTCCTCAACTTTAGCTTCGTAAATCTGAAACAAGTATCATACCAAAAGTTTATCATTTTATACAAAAAAAAAAATAACTCTATCAAAACACATCTACTTTTAAATATTTAAAGTTTCATTATAAGTATAAATATACAAATTATTAATTAAACAAATATATATATTGTCCGGGATTGTATTAGTTATTTATGTATAATAACAATTATTTAGGTTTGGGATGTAGTTAATCCGGTGCGAAGTAACAGTAAATATTGACTGTACGAACAATAAACTTTGTAATTGTTTGATATATCATATTGACATTCGGTTATGACATAAAATAAAGATTTTAGTAATTCAAGCAGCATCACAAAATTTTCAGTATGGCTACAATACGTTCAACAAAATCAAGTTTACGCAACTTAGTGCCACCCGATCAAATAAATCACTTCAGCACTAAATACGTAACCCTAACAGAGAATCGTTTCGGAACGGTGCACGCAGAAGATGGTCCAGGAAAGTCGGTAAAGATCTTCACGTGGAAGAATCAGAATAGGATAGAAGTGCAAGTTATCACGTACGGCGCGAGAATTACATCAATGAAGCTGCCGAACAGAGGTGGTATTGTCGAAGACATAGTCCTCGGATTCGATGATCTGTCCGGATATATGTATTACGATGATCTGTTCATGGGTGCAATGATCGGAAGGACTTCAAATACCATAGAGAAGAGTATGTATATAGCGGATAAGAAGCAGTATTGGCTGGAACCAAATGTAGGCGACAACCACTACAACGGAGGACTCTACAATTTCAGCACAGTCATTTGGGACGATCACGTGATCGATAACAAGCTGATTTTGAGTCATTGTTCCAAGGATGGTGAGGGCGGTCACCAGGGAGATTTGTTCGTGCAGATCACTTTCGAGTTAACTCCCGTTTGCGAATTTAACATTAGTATCGTTGCTAATACCACGAAGACGTGCATTGTGGATATATCTAACAAAATGTATTTCAATTTGGGGGGCCACGAGGCCGGAGAGGTCGAGGTTGGGAATCATGTGGTTTTGCTAAATTCCAATTGTTATACTCCCTACAATAATAACGGATTACCCACAGGTGAACTTTTAAACGTGATCAACACAAGATTCGATTTTCAGACACCAAAGGTTCTGAAAAAAGTAATGGGTTTGGAGTTCGATAATGGTTATGATCAGAATTATTGCGTGAACAGAGGCGTGGATCAAGGGAACGCATTTGTAGCGCGTATAACGCATCCTCAGAGTGGACGGATTTTGGAGATGTATAGTAACCAGCGAGGTGTCAACTTCAACACAGCTACAGATTTCAGCTCCGGTCAAGTTGATATCCCGTTTTCGTATTCAACGTTTATTAGAAAATCTGATGCTGATACTGAGATATTTACATTAGTACGAAAACTGGAGGATTTCCTTAAGGTCGTGCTGGAACCTGGGAAGTATACTGATGTGTTAAAGCTTTTAATCTCCAAGCTAGGTGAAATGAGTACGACTTATACCGCTGACGACTTTTCAATGAATGATGATTTGGAGAACGTTGACTACACCTGGTCTTCAATTATAAAACCTTTGGAGTATCAAGTTCTGTCAGCAATGAAAGAGGCCATCCCAAAGATTACGGAGAACACTGACTTCACACAGCTGAAAGATATAATCAACGATATATTGATGCAGCAGATAACTGGAGGCCTTCAACCAGAAGACGACGAGGATGAAGCCAGCGAATATCCTGAATACCTCAACGAAATCTTCGACAGACAGATCGAGATGGTAAAAGAGCGCCACTCTATTGATAGCACCAAACCAATCGGATACAGCTGCTTAAAAATGAAGGACGAAGGCCGTTCCAAAAGCGGTATAAAAGTACAAAACATGATACCCAAAAACTACAAGGACGGCCGTATCCACGGTAAAAAGGGCGTCATCTACAAGCGACATGGCGCCATCTGTTTGCAATCTCAAAACTACCCGAACGCAGTGCACCACAAGAACTTCCCTAGTCCAATCCTAAGACCTAACGAGACCTATACGCACACGATCACTTACAAGTTCTGGATACAATCAGGCAATCCGAAACGTTGGCTGCATCGTATGCAAATGGAAAACGACCCGTGTCGCAAAAGCGCCACCGGATGAAGTATAAAAAAAAATACAGAAAAAAAATACTCCAACTGTAAAATATTGAACAACGTAAATTAAGCACGGTGCATGTTCAACGCTTCACCCATAAATTCGGACCTCATTCCGTGCCGTTTTTTAAATTGCAATTTATTTCACTACCCCTAATTTTCAGCGCGCGTCGTCGCAATATTTATAACAAAAATATAAATAAACGCAAGAACATAGAAAAGGGAGTGTTAATGATTTACTACATTTGTTTTCTTTTCAGTTTCAGCGTTGAAATCCGGACTGCAGACAGGCCGATGCCGTTTTATTGGCACTCCGGACGAACGCTCCTCCAGTTGATGAGTCGCAATGGGATTTGATTTTTACGATGTTCCATTTCTGATTCCTACTAAACTGAAATACTGTTACATTTTCACCAAATCCTATAACGTTCATCAATATTAGTTTTCTTTATTTACATGTTCTTAATACTTCTTGAAAGCATTTACATTGATTCCCATAGGACAGATGGATTATTTTAAATTCAATAATCGTCAAAAAAAAAATTGTTCCACTACTTTGAATTTTATATATAATAGTAATATAACTGAAATTATTTCAATTGTATAAATTTCATACTTATAAATTTATAAACAAATTACAATGAATACTCATACTCTTTTCAAATTTAGTTTATCCGTATGGCAATGTGTAAAATTCCTTGTAGATCGGATTGTTTATTTTGTACTAAATAGGTGTCACATGCAATGCAAACATGTTGAAGTCTACACACTGTATTTTATTTTCAAAAGGATTAAAACTTTATAATAACAGATAATTGAAGTTAACATGCAACATCATGCAAAATACGCAACAAACGATGCACAAAGTATCACATGCTCTCGTCTCTCGCAAACATGTCAACAAAAGAAGAGCGTATAATGTGGGGGCTTAATAAAACATTGATGCGATGGGGCTTTGAGTCGAGCATATGAAACTTTAATATCCTCTCGGTATATTTTCAATAACGTCGATTTTACATAAAAAACAGATGCAACGGAAATAAATTTAAAGTAAACAATAACTGCACGTATATTTACCGTACGGAAATTTATATTTGCATTTAAAAAAACTTACCAAAAAAAAAAACGCTCAAATTAAAACTGATTGACCACTGTTATTGTTATTGTAGTTATTCCTATTTAAATACAAATAAATTCATATGAAAACTAACAAAAACTTCAATTTAACGCCTATCAATATTTATATAACTAATTTTCAAATAAAAATTCAATTTCATCTATGTAATAACAAAAACTATGTTTTTTTATTAAAAATAACAATATATATATATATAAATTAAAGATTGTCAATTAATTATTTACTTTTATTTTCTGTGAAGTTTGTTTGGCGACGATTTATCGAGTGAAATCTGTTTATTGTTGAATCAACTGATTAATTTAATTAATGAAAATTGCATGTCGAAATTTCCGCACCGCTTCCATATATTTTTTTTAAAATTTGTATTTATTTGTAACTTTTGCCCGGCGGATCCACTGCATTATTAATTACGAACGATAATTATTTGCAATTTCATTGATTTTCATGTACAAAGCTAATTAATATTTATACATTTCGATATACGTTTTTTATACACAAAACAATATATAACACTTATTGATTTTATTTAATTATTGTTTATGTATGAATCACATGTATTTAATTAAAGAAATAATTGTTCATTTCGATTGCATTCATTATAAAATGTAAGTTATGTAACCAAATTTAAAAAATATATTGGTTCAAGGCACAAAATATCTGATTATTTATTATCTATTCTACTTGTACTACTTTTCTGCATTGTACAAATAATTATAATTTAATGTTTAATATTTTTTAGTAACTAACAAGAATTCGAGATTCTATTGTATTCTCTTGTTTAAAATGGAAATTTATTAAAAAACGTACGATAAGAATGTCTAATTGAATTATGTATCTGTAGTTTGTAAGTCGTTTGAAGTTGAAATTGTGAATGTATTTCTCGGAAAGGCGGAGGATGTTGGAATGGCGCGGCTTTGTAGGTAAAATTATTTGAATGTGGTAGTAAAACTGAAATACCGTTGGAATTGAGAATGCGAAAATTTACCTTGCTGCTGGTTCTGAAAGCGATCCTCGTGCTGGGCTCTCCAACTCCGTGCGTGTTCACTGCTTCGATGTAAAACTCATAGTCCGTATCGCTTTCGAGTCCTTCCAGGATGTACGGACTGTGCACTTTGGCTATGGATTTGTAGTCTTCATCATCAAACGCCGAGAACATCCTGAAATGCACATTGTAGTGGATGACGGTGTCTCCTAGAGTCCTGGGTGCGGACCAGTGTAGGATAGCGAATTCCGTTTCGATGTTGGTGACGTGGACGCCGGTCGGGGTGCTGGGGAGGACGCCGTATCCTTGGAGGAGGCAGTTCGTGTAGTCACCCATATACCGAAGGCACCTATTATATAGATTATAATTAGTTAAGAAGTGTATAAGTAAATTACACTTAATTACTTGAAGTAATTGAAGTCGATGGTTGTAACGTTTCCAGTGCAGAGTTGTTGGCAGATCTCCGGGAGTCCTCGAGCTTTACAGCACGGAGTGTGGTCCATGCCATTGGTAAGACAACTGAAGGTGTCTGCGGCCCATGGAGCGCATATCATCAAATCAGTGATCTCAGCGGTATCAGCTAATGAAGGATCACAAAGTTTATCCACGCAAGTCCTGTGACCGATTCCCTTCTTCATGCAGCAACCCTTAACGTCTGGAAGCTTCGGCGAAGTTCCAGCCATCGTAGGCTTTATCTTTCCAGGAGTTAGAGTTAGGCTTCGAACTCGGTAGGAGGGAAGGCTGGATCCGTGTATGTTGAGGGCGGAGACCGTCACCTCGTACATGGTGAAAGGGCTCAGGTCGTTCAGCACGGTCTCGTTCTGAGTTGAAGGCACGTTCACGTGCACCGTGTGCGAGTCGGACGACCTCGAAGGGTTCGATTCGGTTGGTTCTATTAAGCGCTCGTCGAACGTTTTCAGCGATGTCACGTTTATGGAGTATTCAGTCACGGTCTCGGTGTTCGCATCGGGATGAGCCCAGGACACCCTCAACGATTTCTCCGTAAGCGCCTCCACCTCGACGTCCTGCGGCGGATTCGGCAACAATTCTGCAAAGATAATAAAGCTATGACAAAGGATTCGACCAAATCGGAATGATCATGTGCAGGCTGTATTGCTGATTAGATATTTCGACATATATCCATGGTTACGTCAAACGCAGCCGGAATCCCTCATCGGAAAATTCCCTTTTATTAACCCATCCATCTACAAACTAGAATCCAATAAACTACATTCCTAAGCTTAGACATATAATCAATCACCTTTTCAATGATTAATCATTTTCGTTAAGTTCATTACTTATTTGAAAATATCATACTTACAATATTTGTTTAGCATTTTTTTTTGCATTTACACCAAAATAAAATATTTTTAAAAACATCACAGCAAAACTTCAATTTAAAAAAAATATATATTCATATAAATTCTTACATTCTTAAAGTCACGTAATAAAAATAAGCGTTAAATCGTATCTTGTATATTTCTATCATATCCTATCAAATAATTTTTTAATAGTTGTGGAATAATCACAGGAAAACTGAAGTATTGACATTATTTCTTTAATTAACAATTTGTTTCAACTCGTGTCACTAAATTTCATTATTTTTTCTTTACCAAAATGAGTTTTCATTTGTATACTCACAATCTAATTATTATACGGGATTATGTAGTGTTTTAAAATATTTGTAGTGATAAAGTCGAACAATGGTAAAACAAATTCATACACAATAGCTGGCTGTTATTGTTATTGGAACAAAACGAGAGCACAAAAGCAAATGAAATTTGCTAGAAAAGCATTTGTTTTATTATTTATATTTCCGTTTCACGTCACGTGCAGGTGAAAACTGCTGTAAAGCTTTTACTGTGTTTTAACACCGATGCAGCAGCTCTCCATGTTTTCGCGAACGTCAATTTCCTGGTTGCGCTCTCACGTAATTATATAATCAGATTAAATTGTTTATTATTTAGATGAAATATTTTCATCAGTCTTCCCTCAATATGAAAAATATACATATCATTCTCATATTTATATTCATAACATAACAATTATATAATATAATACTTGTTTAATTAGATTAGATTTTGTTTAGTCTAATTATTATTTATATTTTTTCTGTTTTAATGCTTATTCTTTATAAATCTTAATTCGCGTTTAGTCAACTGTGACATAATGAAAATGTCAACAAAAAACGGTAGACTGTTGTGTAATCAAGTTCTGCTGACAACTTAAATAAAGGAAAGAAAGTTGAGTGTGTATTTTGTAAACAGAGGAAAGTAGAAGGAAAGTTTGAAAGCCCTTTGTCGCGAAGCATTAATTTCTCTCAAGAATATAATTACATTATTTTTCCATCAATTCCTTTGACAAACTTTATTCGTTTACACTTTATTTTAAAATAAGGAAGAACTTATATTAAAAAAGTAAAAATGTATCTTGTATATTTTTTATTAAAATGAAAGTAAGATTTAAAAATTTCAACTTGAGAGTTAACAATTTAATTCTGCAATGTTAATCAATGAAATATATTTATTATAAATTTATTTATGTATTAAAGAAAATGTGGTAAAATATTCCATATAAGTTACAAGATTTAGTAAAATGAAGAAAGTGAAAATAAATTGTCAAGTTATTCTAATGCATTTTTTCATCATTAATTTATAGATCAAAGTTTGTCTAATATTTATCAGTTTTCAAATCTAGTCTTATTTTTACTTGTTGAAATTACAATAAGTTAAATCGAGTTCGATTTAGTGAATTGGACAAAGTGGACAACATATGTAAAGTTTGTGTCATTCTTTGTCTTGTGCTAATAAATTGCTTCTTGTACTTAAAATGTTACCTAATACTTATAAATCTTATATTTACAGTTGTATTTAGTAGATTGGAAAAAGTAGAAAATAAAACTGTGATATAGTTAGAAAGGTGTTGATAATTCGTCTTGGAATATAATGACTTTATTTACTCACCAATGCCTTCTACGATGCAGGCCAAAGTTTGTTCCGTGTAAGCCGAGCAGGAGAAGTGCGTTTTGATGTTATCCGTGATCGCTGTGTACTCTCCGCGGCAGACGTCCTGGCAGATATCCGGCACCCTCTCCTGGATGCAGCAGGGCACATGGTTCCTGCCATCTGCCATGCATCTCACGATGTTCGGGAAATCAGCCTCGCAGTGCTCCGGATCTTGGCCAGTGTTTCCTTCCAGGATGCTCTGGATGTTACAGAATCCCAAACAGGACGACGACACGTTCTTCGAGATGCAGCAGTCCGTGTAATTATGGTTTTTGCTGTTGAACGAGGACGCCTTTTGATCCTCGTAAACATTCGCATCGGTCCCATTCTCCGGCGGCAGAAGGGCTTTCGAGAGTACTAGAGAAAAGTAAATGAGAAAAGAGCACAAATAGACGAAGGAATAATAATAAATGTTTATCATCATTAGATCCACTCGACGGGGCCGGTAATTAGCGCAAAAATGTAATTAGTTCGCAGCCGCGAGCCCTAAATTAATTAGCGACTTACCACTAAGTTTGTGGAAGCTCCGCACGATGGGATTGCTGTTAACTTCGCAGACGTAGATGCCGGAATCCGAGGGTTTCGAGTTTTTTATGACCAGCACCCAAACATCACCACCAGTAGGAACATCCTTCTCCTCGGAACTCACTGAAAATTACAATATTTTAATAAACCATTTTTTTTTCTTTTTATTTCTAGCGGATGAAATGGTTTTGGGTTTCAACGCGAAGCCGTTCCGAGCCGAACGAGCAATGCATTATTTGAAAAGTTTTTGGTAATACGTCGGTTCATAAGCGGCAGAATTCCAATAGCCAAGGAATTTATATTGCGATCGATGCGCAAACCACCCCCTAAACACTCCCCAGTCTTTTCCCTTAAAGCCAAATGATCTCCGAAGGATACTCAAGGAGGAGTGCCGCCGCCATCCCCCGAAAATTAATGCTTGATTACAGAAAAGAATTCGGTAAGGGCGACGTTGTTTTATGTCCTCATCCGGATTAGATTCCATTTCCGATTTCAGCACTTTCCGTTTTGACTAATTAACTTCCTTTTCCTCTCTTCCATTCAGTTTTACTTTTTTTTTCTCTGCACGTTCGTTACACCTTGAACACCGGTATACATCCGTCGCCCCTTCTCCAAATATCGACTCGTTAGGGCCCCTTCGGATCCTTAAAATTGAATCACGTTCCAAACCGAAACCGTTTCATCCACATCACAACTTTGTTAAGAAATTATTGATTTCCCGAAAACTTTTTTAATATAACCAAAAAAAGTACAGACATTAAACATGTAAATTAATCTATCTCTCTCTCCCTCTCTTTAAATCTATATACAGCTAAATTGGAAGCACAAAGAGCTCTAATATCGTTTCTTAGGTGTCCTTCAAGTTTCCATTACAATAGGGATGATGATGTTAAGCAAGGCATTCAACCATAAATGATAAATTGCTTTGGAAATCTTCAATTTTGCATGCTTCAAACTAACATCGAGAAATCCGATTTTCGAATTACCTGGATCTAATTAAGACGTTTGATTTCTCGCTCATTATAGTTTAAGGATGATTGTTCGCAAACTCGGTAACGATTCGTTAGTTAATCTCTATTATTGATCACTTTTCAGAAGCAATTTTCATATTTTGAAGTATTTTAATCAATTTTTAATTAAATAGGCCATTTATTATTTACGAACATTAAAATCAATTTGTTATTTATGTGCTTCGTTTATTTATATTTGTGCAGACACCCTTTCATAAACTACCAATTATTGAATTTCACATTTAAAATAATAATTGTTATATATTAATTCGGTTAGTGCAAGTGCTTCAATATTTGTTCATAGCAATTAAATTTATTTTGGTATAACTTGAAAATTACCACTTTAATTATTTATAAATTGCTTTGACATCTGTATTTGTATTGTATATAATTTCAGTAAAAATATTTATCAAAAAAACACAACATTTTACACTATTTTTTATAAATTTAATTATAAAAGTATATTAATAAAATTGTATCAAACATTTAAAAAATGAAAAATAATAAAACTTACAGAAAATTATTTTTTCTTTTGCTCAATTTTCTTTATATAAAATATCAGTTCTAAAATTTTCGGTTATTACGGTTTTATTGTGAAGAGTCAACTTAATTTGTTATTTTGCTATGTATAAGTTTCTACAAAAAGATTGATTTTGGAAAAACTCAATTTTTCATTATGTTTTTGTCTTCGTTTGTTGAGAAGAGTCAACTTAATTTGTTATTTTACTAGGTAAAAGTTTATACAAAAAGATTGATTTTGGAAAAATACAAGTTTTATTTATGTTTTTTGACTTTGTTTGTTGTCATAAGTAAACACAATTTATATATCAGTTTATATAAAGAGAATGGTTTTGGAAAAACACAAGTTTTCATTTTCTGTCTTCGTTTGTGTATTTATAAAAAACCTGTTCTTGTTTTCCCCATATTTTTATATGGTGATATTTTTTATTCAATTTTATAGTTATTTTATACAAATTTTAAAAATGCAGGATGAAAAAACATTAAAACGACGTTAAGCTGTGGTTTGGATATACATTTAAACATATAAAATGCTGATGAGATTGAGGAAGGAAGGAATGCACATTGCGGTTAATATATTTAACAGTTTGCTAAATTTTGAATTGTGGCGAAAGTTGGGCAATTTAAATTATAAATCACTTCCGGCCTCTTCCTCCTCCCCTTTCGCTCGAGCAACCTTTTTTCTTCGCGGTCAATTTCATCCCCCGGGCGAAGTTAAATAAATAAAAGAGCAAAAGGGGGCGTTTTGTGTGTCTGTATATATGAGCGTGAAGGAAAGAGATGAAGAGAGTAAAAAAAAAGTTTGCGGACGAAGAATGCGAGGTATTTTGTTGGGGAAAATGGGTTCGTGTTATTACTCCCCCCGAATGCTTACATTTTCTATGAGCAAATATAAATGTATTTTTTTTAAAGGGGAGGGATTGGCCAGGATGGAAGCTGTAAAGCATTTAGATGTGTGTTTCGTTCGTTCTCGGCTGATGATTATATCGCATTTGCACACTCATTTAAGTCCGAAAGGCTATAAATAGAAACGTGGAATGGATGCAGAAGCAGTTACGACCGCAGCACGGTGCAGCGAGCATGGATAAGCTTAAACGCGTCTTAATCCTCTCGTTAATTACGCAGCTGATCACTGGGATCAGGTGCGATTGCGTGACGACGTTCGCGACGATTTGCTCAACTGTGGACGATGTTAAAACCCTTGGGAATGAGGAGTGGACGGAACTTATTGTAGGCGAAGAGATGTGCGGGAAGAGGACCACAATTGGTAGACCCAGGGAACATCTGGCTGTTGAAACGTTCACGAAGTCGCCGAATTTGCGGATGCTTTATTTGGTGGAGAAAGTGAGGAATATCGAAGTGGGAGCGTTTCAGACCGTCGGCAACTTGAACTACTTGAAGTTGTATAAAAATCTTATTAAAGTTGCGGCGCTCGGAACCTTTTCTGGTTTCCGGCATCTGGCGATGCTCGACCTGCAGCACAATTCCATTGAAAACTTGGCTACCGGATGCTTCGCGAATTCGAGCATCGAAAGTATAGATGTCTCGAACAACCTGATTTCATCCATCGCAACCGGAGTTGTGGATTTACCAGGTCTCTTGAGATTATCCATTTCGCACAATAGATTAGTGCATTTAGCTGAACGCTGCTTCAACGAGGATTTGGAACATTTAGATTTATCCTACAACTCGTTATCGCACATCGATCTCGGAGTACTCAACGGTTTGAAGAACTTGAAGACATTCATCCTCAACCACAACAAGATCAAAGCGATAATCCCAATCCCATTCTTGAAGAAGTTACAAATTCTCGATGTTTCATCAAACGGCGTTCAACACATAGAAGATAAAGCCTTCACCGATAACCTAGACCTCCAAGAATTGTATCTAAACAACAATTCTATCAAATACGTATCACACACATCCTTCCCTACTCAATCCAATTTGATCACTCTACATCTACACAGGAATCTTCTAACTCTTTTAACAGGAGATTTAGGTAATGCTTTACCAAAACTGAAACACATCACGATCGGCGGAAATCCATGGGCCTGCAGTTGTCTTACTATAATCCAAACCTACTTCAACATGAAAGGTATACAATTCGAACAGTGCGATTTAACGCATCTCACTGATGGCTTAAATCCTGTTTGCTACGCAAGTGGAAGTCGCGAATGTGTAGGAAACGAACACGTTGAAATCTTGAAAGAGGACGTGTCCAGTTTTCAGAGCAGCTACAAGTGCACCTTCAAGCCAGCAGCTTTTAATTAAACATTATGCAATTCGAGCGGAACAAATAACTTTAATGGCCCCGTCAAAAACATAGGTGCACAACAATAAAATCAATTACCCGAAAACCTAGCTCTCTCTCCAATTAACCATTTACACTACAAACGTTTGCATAATAACAGAGCGCTTACAATCCTTTCATTAAAAGAATCCACTATTTTTATCTCATGTTAATCTTTCAAAAAGTATTCAATTAAATAGCTTTATTTCGTAATCTAAAGACTTAATTCCCATAAGAAAACAGACAATACCAACTTTTCTTTCATCTTAATCTTTCAGAAAATTAAATTATTATATTTCAGGATCAAAACATAATTTCTTTAAAAAATAAATATGTTTTTCATTAATTAAAAAAATCATCAATTATCACTTCTTAATATCATTTTTCCTCTTAATTTATAGAAGTAATGCACTTAAATAATGAATTAACGTCCTTATAAATCATAAGTAAAAAAAGATTCAATTCTTCAAACCAAACCTTGTATTATTTTTGTGAAGAAGAATTTTCTTAAAACTTTTTTCCTCAATTTTTCATTCATTATAATCTTTCTTAAAAACAAAAAATTAAATCACTTTATTCATAATCTAAAGACTTAATTGAAAACTGATCCTGATTAACGTTCTTATTATACATAAATAGAAGAAAAATCAATGAAATCACCAGTACTTTTCTCTCTTCTTAATTTTTCGATAAAACATTCACTTCATCATCAAATTGGTAGTTTCAAGTATTCATTATAGTACTTAAATACTGAATTAACGTATTTGAAAACTATGAATAAAAGGAAAAAAAAAACAAATTTGCAAGTTTCATAAACTTTCCATAAAGCACTAACATAAATCATTTAATTAAACATTAGAAAAAACTTAAATTCCTTAAAAAACTTAATATTAACAACTTCATCAAAACAGAACAAAAACAGAAATATAAATCATCTGAGACAATGAGATTATTCTGCTTTAATGCGTATGAATCGAGATCGAAAAAGTAAAAAAAAATGTTGCAATTATAAAATACTTACATAATCCGTCCGTTCAACTTGTTGCGCAAAATTCTCGCGAAATTTATGTTTTGTGCATCTGCCGAATGCATAGGGTTTTCGTTACGTTATTTATTTTCGAAATTATATATATATTTAACGTGTTCAAATAAGTTCAGAATGAAATATGCGACAAATTTAATATCGCCGTACATTTGCGACTTGTTGCTGTGCAGCAAAAATAATAATTTACGAAATTTATTGTATAATTTATATATGTGAATAAACATTTATTATTTTATGCTGTAAATGTATGTATTATATTTTAGTTTGTAAACCTTTTTTAAATTAATATTATATTAAATAACTTTATGAAATAATAACAAATTTCTATATTTTCATTATATTTTGTAATATAATGTGATTATTCCTATACATTTTTCAAGTAGTTCGATTCTTTTTTTTTTATTTTGGTATTTGGTATTATTATATAAAATCAAATCAATGTTTTCTATGTTAAATTTAATTTAAATTATTAACATTGAGTTCATTATTTATATGTATGTTTCAAGTACATCAAATATCACAATTTTATAGATACAAATGTCAAAAGGTTATCATAAATCTCTCCGTTTATATACTTAAATCATAAATAAAAATAGCTTCTACTGATTTATCTCAGTTTTTATTATATACTTTTAAAAAAATATTAGGAATTAACCTTGTTCCAATTTATATTTATTTAAATTTTTGTAAATATATTTTATTTTTTTTTGATATGAACATTTATATAATATTTGAGATCATAGCTTTATTCAAAACTAATTGAAGACTATAGTTTTTACCTTATAAAAGATTTTTTTCAGCCTTTATTTCTTCTTTGAAAAGAAAAACTATAGTGAAAACTATAAGTAAACAATTATAAAAAATAATAATAATTGATTTTATTTGCAAAATGTTTTAATAAAATTAATAATATAAATTTGGTAATTTAATTTTATATAAGATATTTTTTAATATTTGTATATTTTATAATTATACTTTGATCTTGTTTAGAATTTCTACTGGCTTGAGAAACTACTTTTTTTTATTAAAATATAATAAAAGCGGCTATATTTTTTTGTGTTGGAATAATCTGGAAATATCAGAGAATGTTGTGACTCCAATTTTGTGTTTATTATTTTCCCAAGAGGAAAATCGCGGGAATCCATTCAAGCAAATGAAAATATCCCTTCAGTTCACTTATTTTTTTTTCGTACATCTCCTCCTCCTCGTCCTCTTATACCCCGCGTTTCGTTTGATGAAATCGTATAAAGGGATTTTCTAATGGGGAGAGACGGTGAAAGGTAAAGGAAAATCGCCGAGGATAATAATTTCCAGTTTACCAGAATCGTGCAGAACCGAGTATCTTCTATCGGCTGTGACTCGGCTATCTCCAGCTGTAAGGACCCTCCGACTGTGCCTCTCTCTGTCCTCCTTCTTCCACATGACCGTATTCTCACCGATGTCCCTAACGACGCACGTAATCAACGCATCGTCGCCCTCGTAGACATGAACGGGATTTGTTAAGCTGTCTCGCATCGATGGTAATCCTGGAACAAGGACACAAAACATAATTAAGAATATTTCATAAAATATATAGAATATTACACAAAATAATGGTTTTCAGACTTTAGTATTTCAGAGAAATTCATAAAACTTTTCAAACTTCAGTATTTCCAAAATACAGTTTTCATTCTTAATATTTCTAACAAAAAACAGTTTTTAACTTTAGTATTTCCAAAAATAACACATTTCAAACTTCAGTATTTCCAAAAAACAGTTTTCATACTTACAATTTCTAAGAAACAAAAAATGGTTTTTCAGAAAAGAAATAAATTTCAAATTTCAGTATTTCCAGAAATAAAGTCTTCAAACAAAAAAGTATGTCCATAAAAAAAAAACCGTTCTAAAATTTCAACATTTCTAAAATAAAATCAGTTTGAAAACTTTAGTATTTCCAAAAATGACACTTTTCAAACTTCGGTATTTAAAAAAAAACACTTTGCCAACTTCAGTATTTCCAAAAATAAGACTTTTTAAACTTCGGTAATTAAAAATAACACTTTTCAAACTTCTCTTCTATTCTATTTCCAAAAAAAAATCAAATTTCAGTTTTTCCAAAAAAAAAAAATTTTTTTTAAACTTCAGTATTTCCATAAAAACTGTTATCAAACAATAAAAAAAAAACGTATTTAAATCAGTTTTTAACTGGTTTTTGAATGAAAAAGAAACAATTTACAATTAAAAAAATATTGACTTCATCAGTGATTACAAACCATAGTTTTCAGTACTCCAAAAAGTAAATCTTTCATTGAAATAAAAAAAAATAACATCAATCCTAATATATTATCCATAAAAGAACATTTTTTAATGATAAAACCTAATATTATGTATCATTATTTTCTTGGGAATGGATGAAAGTTGCTTTTGGCCCACCGCATTTCTGTAATTAATCAGCGGCTCTCGGTGCACAAAAGGGAAAAGTTTAGAGTAGACGACGTCCGGGTATTTGTTGGAGGATAGGAATGGGATTTCGGATGGGGGGTGTTGGTGGTGGTGTTGGGGATGAACGTGCTTGGCACAATTAAATTTAACATTAATTATCCAAAACGTTTTAGCGAAATATATATATAATAATAAAACGGCTCAGCTCGTGCTTAAATCTTGGAACTTCGGCGGCATCTTTTGTTCACTAAAGCCTTCATTAAATTAATGCAACGAGACATAATTTACATTTCGCCTTTGTGCAGCGCAGCCCACGCACGAACGCCCTCCCACAAAGCGCTCAATGAACATTTCATAAATAAATAAATAAATAAAGGAATCCTGCTCGATTCTGCTTTCAAACCATCCAAATCCCAACGCAAAATGTGGCTTTTCAACTAATTGCATCAACATTTCCTCCACTTTCAGCAATTCAAAGTTTGGTACAATATCTGAAAATGTCAGTCTTAGATCTGCATTTTATCTATTTCAGTATTTATCTTTCCGATAAGTATATATTGAAAATTATTTTCTCACATAAATATGTTGTTCAAAATGGCAATAGATGGAAATATAACAATAGAACAGGATAGTCATTATTCTTACTGAACCAGAAGTCAATTAAAAAATGATCTTTAAACTGTCTTAAGATAACTCTAAGAGTTTTTCTATTCTCTAGCAAAGTTTGCATCTATTGGGATCGAATTGTAATCGAAAGTTAACTCTTTGAGGGGCGGTGGGACACGCATTGTCCTATCTTTTGAACATGCCATATGAACATTAATATAATTTTCTAGAAAATGTATAGGAAAGAGGAATTACCATATGATTTGGTTGGTAAATCAAGGAATGAATGTTAATAGGCCATAGTATCCGATGTTGATTCAGTTGTCTGAAAATCTCAAAGATTTTTAGATGTTCACATATATTTCTTTCATCAATGTTTAATTGAGTTTTTCGATAAAAATATGCTGAGAAAACCAAAACATTCGTACTCAATCATCTGCAGACATTGGATCCATAAATTGAACTGTTTAACGCCTTGTAATGACAGATTTAATTCATTCAATCTACAAAAGATATGAGCTGTCAGATGTATGCAAGCCAACGCATTGTTATGGTATGTTTGATCTTCAATCCATTGGTTTTTTTTTTGGAATTATCCTACCGCTGCCACCTAAAATATGTCGTGTCCCAGGGATGAATTTTGGTACACTGTGGGATATTATCTTTCTATTGTCCGTTGTGTTTTACTTTTGGTTTATTATTAAAATATTCGATACGACTTGATTCTTTAATGTTCTTCCTAAGACTAAATTGCAAATTACTTATTCTACTTATATAAATAAAGGGATGGGAGTTTGAGGCTCCGCTTCAGCTCACTGTTCTCCGTGGGATCTGTCAATTCTGCAGTTTGGTTTTTAGTTGAAAATACACAGAAAAGTTACAAACGGTCACTGCCTTCCGTGAGATTTGTCTAGTCTGCATATTGATTCTGTTAAGGACCTATAATAGTCCTCAGTAGTACCCAAACTTAGTAGTTTGACACAACATAAGAGGATAAATGAAACGGATATATAAAATATGCTTGATCTTCAGACACAAAACTTTGCCACGAAAACCCCATCTAACTTTTTTGCTTTGTTTTTTTATGCGTTTATTTTTCTTTGTACATCCCGCAAACTGTCGGTTGGAACCTACAGGTTTAAGCAAAGACTGGTTAATCAATCGTTTGGTGATAAGTTTGTCTTAGTTGGTGAGAAGTATGCTGTGAATGTCAAATGACTGTGAGTGAAGGTAAGAGGTCAGGAAATATCGAAACATCTCGCAAAAAGGAAGTAAACGTGCGCCACCGAAGTGTCCTTCCGCAGTTCACCATTAATCCTTGAAAGGCAGACAGAAGGATGTGGATTATATAGGGAACGAGTGCCGCAACACCTCCCGACGAAGACAAATGGTCCAATGGGCACACGCGGATGTGTTTCGATGTGAACGCGAAAACATTTTCGCCCCGAAAAACATTTATTGTGTCTGTAAATATTATTATGATAAATCGTTGCGACCAACCTGACACTTATATAAACTGACACTCGAAAAATATTACAAACGATCGCGCGTTATAAATTTATATTAGTTTGTCGCCATATATATATATAAATTATTTATGATGGTCGTCTTCCTTTCTTCTGTTTTTTTTTTCTTTTTGAACCTCCGAACAAATCCAACGGCCTAAGCTCTCCGCAGAGCATCACTCTCTTTCGCCAACCGAAATATTTTTCATTTTCACCCCTCACAAAACAGAGGCAGAAGGAACAGAAACTAAATAGCGAGGAAGAAAAATGGTGGAACGCGTGAACCATCTCTTTTCATTATCCACCCAAAAATTCACTTTCGAAAGCGCCGTTTCAGCTTTAAACCAAGCTATTCCCATAACTTCACATTAAAACATTAAATTTATATCATATTTAGGTCATGACATTTAAACTCTTCACTTTTTTATACGCTTATCATTCCAAATACGATTACTTTCTTCGTTTTATTCATACAACGTTTGTAGTAGGAAATCCAATGAATTATTTAATAATTTACATATATAAATCCAGATTCTAAATTCTATTATTAAAATTTAATTTTTCTGTCAATTTTGGTAAAAAATGAAAAAAAAATCACAAATTTAGTAAGTTTTTGAGAAATAAAGCCAATTCAGAGTTAATTATTTAATCAAATTTGTTGTATAATTGTGTTTTCTGAGAAATTTGTATACATACATATTTCTTATTATAAAATTTATCTAAGAATTCACATATCTTTAAGTTTTTGATAAATAACGTCATTATAGTATTAAAATATGTCAGTACTTCAAAATTTCAGTAATGTTTTCAATTTTCTTTTCTGTGAAATTTGCATACATTCTATATTCACAAATTTACTTAGGTTTTTAGAAGTGAAGATGCAATAATTGCAAAAAAAAACTATAAAAAAAATTTAAAAAATTATTATATATTTTTTTCAGCAAAATTTAGCAACATTAGTATTGACACTAATTGTTCATGAATGAAATGTACTTGGAAATTGTAAAAAAATGTAAGAGAATTTTGAATCACTAAAAATTACGTGACAAACAACGGAAATAGAAAGGGAATCCAGAAATGAGGATATTTATTGACAGGTGCGAAATAAATCATATTATATAATAATAAAAAAAAGAATATGAATAATCCTGGAACTGGATGGATTAAAACGAATTATCGCAGCAGGAAGCAGAGTGTAAATAAAAAGGGAATCAAACGAAATAGATCAATGCTCATCGTAAAACGGTTTTTTTGCTGCAGCGTCGAAACGGTGATTCCGCGCTTCTGTTGAAAATAATAAATTCGAAGCGAAATTTCATTACGATGCGAGAATGGAAATAAAATGGTGCAACTAAAACGTAAATATCGAATCATCACTTCAATACATATTTATTTGAAATATATGGTATATATTTATTTGCTTTTACGTTTGTATATTATTTAGCCTTGTGACTGACAGTGTAATTGCATTTAGTTCAAAAATATGTAGAATAAATATAGATATAGAGAGAGAATATGCATTTACGTCCACCGGGAAAACCGGAAGTGTTGAAATAGATAAAATTATTATTGATTGCCGTGTCCAATTTTTCAAATTAAATTTTCGATTGCGTGAAATAATTTATTTTGACGTAATTCGTTAATATTTGTATGAGTATATACGATTAATACTAAATATTAAATAATTAAATTTTTCAAAATTAATATGTAGAATATATTTTTTTTATTAGAAATATTAGTGCTAATATTCATTTAAAACCAAAGTTCTTTTTAAAATATTTTAGAATTCGTTTTTCGACGATATTTTTCTAAAAATATTAGTTTTTGTTAAAATAATATTTGTCAGATTTACCAACTGTTATTAGTCAGATCATATTGAAATGACACCTAATTTTGTTGTCAAGTGTATATTATAGTTGGTATACCTGAGAAACAGTTGTGTCTTAAATCAGACGTAGTTCGGACGCAACTTTAGAAATATTGATTTGCAAACT